GGATGCAAAATAGGTCATTTTGGGCCACTTTTTTGTGGGGAAAAGGATGATTCATAGTTTCTTTTACAGCATAAATATTATTCACAAGGAAAAAACTCTTTATTCTTTCACTCTATTACATAACGTACCCTATTTTGGGCAATTTTAATGCCCTATAAAATGAAAGCACTCTGAGTGCATTGCAGTTTTTTCAGGATTTTCTTCCCATTAATTAAAAATATACATGAACTCGTACAAGATTTTGATTTYGATTGAAATTATAATTTCCTGATAATCATAGCGGAGGCTCCGCCTCCTCCATTACAGATGCCAGCCAATCCGAGTGCACCAGGTGCTAAATTATGAACCAGATGGCAGATGAGACGCGCGCCAGACATACTGGAACAAAATAGATTGGTAGATGGTTGTTAGTATTATCAGCATCATTAGCATAATTATTAATTAAAATTGTCATCATTGTAATGACATCATCAGATGATAAGCAATGACTCTAACATTACCATCGTGATAATCACATTCATCACCATCATTGATTGACATCATCATCATCTTCATCCTCAACATCATCGACAACATCATCATAATCGACACTCATTATCATTACGATCATCGACACCTTTATCATTTTCATCATCATTATCATCATGATTACCATCATCATCATCATCATCATCAATTTCACCATCATTGTGACCAACATTGTTGTCACTACATCATTATCATCATCATCGACACCTTCATCATCATCATCACACTTTCATCATCATCATCGACACCATCATCATCAACACCTTCATCATCACCATCATCAACACCATCATCATCATCATCAACACCTTCATCATCATCATCATCAACACCTTCATCATCATCATCAACACCTTCATCATCATCATCATCAACACCATCATCATCAACACCTTCATCATCATCATCATCAACACCTTCATCATTAACATTACATCATCATCATTGTTGTTACCATCATCACTGTCGACATCATCAAGATCAACATCATTATCAACATCATCGTCATCACAAACATCATCACCATCATCATCCCAAAGACAAACAAATCTTATCCACACCTACAAAATCATCTCCCAACACTCACTCCAACCCCCACAACTAAATCACCATCATCATCACCACCATCAACATTATCCCTTCTCCAGCATATTCCAGCAACATATCAAATGTTACAGTATACAGCTAATATAAAACAGTTTGGTGAAAGTTCTGTTGCATGTTGCGCCAAAGTTCGGATTGCATAAAGGCAATGTGGATTCAATCAGCGAAAAGTCACGACAATATGATCATTTTCCTTAACTTTGTCTGCAAATATTTTCTTTGGTGCTGAGATTATTTACATATAAATAAAATACATTCTAAGCTTAGCAAGCAACAAGCAAGATGTAGCATGAGGCGTGTGACAAAACCTTCACCAACCCTATTTATAAAATAGCTGTTATAAATGTTGCGTTCTGATTGGCTGGGAACACATGCTTCATGAGAGCATGCATCACACGCACACACTTTCAGTTGCGTCATTCCTATCTATAATAATGGTTATTGTAATTTGTATTTCATATTAAAAAAATAACTTGCTGTGCTGTGTGGAGTTATTAAGCACTTGGGGATTGACAGAACATTTCAGAAGTGTCGAGAAACACCCCGCTATGCGTCTTTCTTCTCCTAACATTTCTCTCGTGTTCTGCCAACCCCCATGTGCTTTATGACTGCACAAAGCATGCGCACCCATGCATATCAAATATACATGTACTTACCCAATAGGATGTCCCAGAGAGACAGCCCCTCCATGGATATTCACTTTACTGGGATCCAAGTCCATAATCTGGAACAACACACAGTAACGTCAAGATGATTCTTCTCATGGTGCCCTTCACATCAATTTATTGTCATGGTCCAAAAACATCGACCTGCGACTTGAGAGTTGTATGTATAGGAGTTCAATTCATGGTAGCGTGTGAAAGAAAGGCCAATTCAGTGTGAATTAGACAAAGGTCAAATGTCGGACTTCACATGAGCCGAACCTAATGAAAGAGACTGCCTTGTTATCAATTGTTTTTAATGCATATGACTAATGTAGTTCAATGTTTGACCTGAGTCTAATTCACACCAATTTGGCCCATCTTCACTCACACACACACACCACCATAAATTAAACTTTCATAAATACAACTCTTAACTCCAGAGGTTGAATTTGATTAGCGGCCTTTTAGCCCCAAGCTCACACTTGTTCTAATAGATTTCTGACTTATTTTCTTTTAATGAAAAAGGGGATGAAATATACTGTAATTGTTTTGGAAGTATGGTGTTCCATAAGGGTTACAACATCAATTAATGAACACGTTCATTTCCCGTGTACATGAGACCTTGTTAAATTGGTACTGTTAAATTTACATTAGCCATTGGCTGATGAAGGCAGTAGTATGTGACCGGACACGATAATAACTTATTATTATTTGTTGTGAAGTGTTCAGTGTGAAGTGTTTCCTCCCTCCATAAAAATCAACATGTAAGTTGAGCGTTGTGTGCATAGAACATTAAATGTAGTGGTAGTGCGTGTGAGTGAAAAGTGTCCCCAATTAGTGCGAAAGCGCTAGAACGACTAGACACTTAAATRAAAGTGATTTATTTATTATTTTATTTTCAGGTTGTCCAGGTGAGTGCAGTCCTGAGAAAGAATGTTGTTGGTGGTGACTGACGTTTCGAGAAAATGATTTCTCACTGGCTCTGAACATAACTTCTGCTCAGGTTGTCGAAACGTCAGTCATGCACCACCAACAACAGTCTTTCTCAAGACTACACTCACCTGGACAATCTGAACACTTACTTCATAACAAACTTCAACACCTAGGTTCAAATCATTTACTTTTATTATTTTTGATCAGTGTCCACTATAATTTTCTGTATTTTAATGCTATGCCTCATTACGAAACCTTAATTATAAACACTATAATATTCATATTTACCTTGATGTTAGCCAAGGTGACAGCACTGAATGCTTCATTGATCTCCCACATAGATATATCCTCCTTCTTAAGGTGTGTTTGCTTTAATACCTGCAAAAAAAAAAAAATTTAAGGTATAATTTATTGAATCACAGAAATATTAAAAAGATAAGYCCTGAAAGTACAACATCAAATACACGCTTCTTAAAATTGTCTCGAATGTGAGACTAACATGGAAATACAAAAAAAAAGCAAATTCGGTCAAAAATTAGTGTGATTTAATTGAGTTGCCATCTTGGATTCAAATCGAAAAGTTTTCACCAGATAAATTCTACTTTTTGTTATTTTTTAAAAATCAAAAACTTTCAAAATGAAAATCCATTTCCAATGAAAAAGCAATTTGAACGTTATATGTAACAGCCTCATATGTTAAATAGGCAAATTTATGCGTGGACAAAATTGCATAAGCAAAAATTTTCCGTGTGCGAAAATACTGTAATTCTCTTGGGTAACCACCTTGGTTTCGTTTCCAGTTGTCGTTATCCCACGAAGGGTTTTTGCACTGATTTATACCTCTATTTAGCAGCCATATGTCAATTCCCCCAAGGGTGGCCAGAAATACAACCATGACTCAGGTCAACTTAATCAAATTGAAGGCATATGGAAGTGCAGCGGTAGCATTTATGCCTGACCCCAGAGCAAAGCTCTAACAAGATCCAGGTAACTACCTTACCTTAGGCATGGCAGCTGCTGGTGCAATGGGGAAATCTATTGGAGCAACTGCTGCATCAGCAAAACCTTAGAACAGAGATTATGGATTATATTAGGAAGAATTAAGAAATATAAAAGATCGCTCATGTCTAACCCTTCCCTCCCTCCCCTTCCCGTCATACTGCCATCATCCTCTGCTTACCTATGATACTTGCAAGAGGCTTGACATTGAGTCCAACCCTTCCCTCCCTACTCCACCCTCCCTACTCCACCCTCCCCTCCCTCCCCTCCCCATCATACATGTACTGCCGTCATCCTCTGCTTACCTATGATACTTGCAAGAGGCTTGACATTGAGTCTCTCGGCAGCTTCTCTGGTCATCAGGACAACAGCAGCTCCACCATCGTTAAGTGTGCTGGCATTACCAGCTGTGATGGTGCCTGGAACACAAAAAAAAATGGTGGCCTTCTTACTAACTTGGCCCACTTGCATTTGGTTTTAAGAGGCCACATTCCAGGTAAAATATAGAATGGTTGAATTTATTACCATTATAGTTGAAGTGCTACAATGGAAGTTTGATGTCTAACTCACCAACTACCATTTCAACGACTGTCAAGCAATATCTTCTGGGAGATTTGAGATTTGAAAATGTTGATCCTCTAATAGATATAATGATGAAAAAAATGCTAGTCGTTGAACGAGATATCAAAATTCACTGGCTGCACTTCATCAATAAAGGTAGTAATTAGTTTTTATTGGGGTTTGTATAACACTATCCAACATGGCTGCTATGCCTTTTGTCGTTTCATTGTCTTAGGAATGTCAATAAATAGATGTAAGCAAGGTTTTAAGCACTAGTTGAAGTTTTCTTACCATTTTCCTTTTTGAAGACAGCTCTCAGGGTTGGTAATTTGTCAAAGTTGACATTTTTGTATTCTTCATCTTCTTGAAATACAACATCAGGTTTGCCTGATAGGGGTCAAAAGGCACTATTATTATGGGTATAAACTTATATAATTTATATATAAACTTATATTTTACAACCACCACTCCCTGTAAGGGCTCTTACGTAAGGTTCCCTCCACACGCACTACCACTACATTCTATATTTACAACWTACAACACTCAACTCACATGTTGATTTTTACAGAGGGAGGAAACCAGAGAACCCAGAGAAATCCCTCGTGGCAAGGGAGAGAACGACACATCAAACAAACTCAATTCACATATGAGCCAAGGCTTGAAACCAGACCACTTGGAGAGAGGCAAGCATAAACCACTACCCCCACCCATGCCTCTCATGCCTTACCTCTCACCTTTGGGGTCTCAGGTTTGATTCCTGGACTCAGCGTCACATACGAGTGCATTTATTCAATGAAATTGCGAAACTGAATTTTCAAACTGAAGTGCTTTAGGATTTAATTTTTTGCAACATCGTGAAATTAAAGCCTTGCAAAATATGCGACCTCCAAAATCTCAACATTGACAAGTTGTTAAAATTTTATGTAATAATTACCTCTCTTTTGAGGAATACTAACAGGTACGATTTCATTTTTGAACTTTCCAGCCTAAGACAATAGCATTATGTTAATGGACTTATCCCGAATTTGCTTGACTGGTCACGAAACAATGGTTTCAAGTTGAGGTTGAACTTGAGGAATAAAAGAATCAAGTTCAGTTTCAACTTCAAACCATTGTTTCGTGGTCAGTCAAGCGAATTCGGGATAGGTCTATTATATATATCACCAGCAACCCAGTGAAACCATGATTAATGATATACATACATATATACAGTGTGTAACAGCGTAAGAGAGAAATATTGATCACCGATCACAGTTACAGTGCAATTCACATTACTTCACCCCGGCGGGTTGGGAAGTTCGTTCGCAAGTTCCCAAGTTGATAACGAACTTTGGAACTTCAAGTGAACAAAGTTCAGTGAACCGTGAACTGTTAGCATCTATATTTTGATGAAGTTTGATTCTTATTTGAAAAGATTCACTTTTGGTAATTTTGAGAAAAATTGTATGTCAGCTCACTGCAAGGGCAGATCCAGGGGGGGATCAAAGGGTCTGAAGCCCCTCTTTAGAAGAAAAGAGACAAAAAAAATTGAAGAATTAGATGCTTTTTTTATTGTTTTCTGTTGTGTTGACGGAAGAAACTCAATTAGTCCCCCTAAACTCAATAAGCCCCACCCAAAATTTTGGCTAGATCCGCCCTTGTGCCAGGTTTGTTGCATTAAGTTGTCAGTACAATAGCAGTGTTGGTGTTCTTAAGGTGGAAAATGTAATTTTGCTTTATGAGTTACTTGATGTTTCTAGCTCTAAAAAACGTTCCAGAACAAGGAAGTCTTTGATTAGTCATGGATTTTTAACAGGTAGAGTGAGTAATCTGTGAAAAATTTAACTTACAAAATTGTACAAATTAGTGCAAAGTTTTGTAGGTCCACATGTACGGTCTACTGAGGTCTACTAAACTTACCAATTTGTACAAACTTGTGCATTTTCTATGGGGTTGTTTTTTAGGGATGTATGGTATCCCGGGTGGGGGGGGGGGGGTACTCCCCTATATTTGCTATACGGGTATGTGCCGCCCTATAGGGTATGGTTTTTCGGCTTTTGGGTCTGGGGTAGGGTATCATTTTTGGACATTTTGTCTGGGATAGGGTATCATTTTWGTCTGGGATAGGGTTAACGATTTGGTCGTTTTTGTCTGGCGAGTAGGCTACACTTTCTGACGGCACAAAAACAATTAAAACGTTAATAAATATTGATTACAATCTATTGAATAGCTGTTTTTCCCTCTATTAGTCTAGGGTATGTAAAATCAAAATTTTAGGTCTGGGATAGGGTCAGGGTTTTGAGGTCCTGGCGGCACACCCCTACCCAAGTTGGGGGGTAGTACCCCCCCAGGGTATGGTATGAACTCTGCTATCAGGTAATTTAGTAGATATGAAATTATTAATATACTGACCTCCCAAGCTGCCGTAGACCTTCTGTAGGAAGAAAGAGCATACTCATCTTGCTCTTCTCTCGTTATGTTGTACTTCGATGCTGTGTTTTCTGCACAACTTCCCTTCAAAGGTTAATAAGAGTTATGCAAATAATTGCTAATTATCACTTCGTAAAAGTGTTAAAGCTGCACACAAGTAACTCTACTAACTTGGAAGACTTTTTCTTATTACACTGTGTTACTTATTCCCTCTAGTTGTTGGCTTACCATATGGATTTGATTGTACACGTCCCACAGACCGTCTTTGACAATAGCATCCTAAAAATAAAATGTATAATTATGTGAAGCAAAATACATGCACATCTTTCTGCAATGCAAGCTGTAGAAATGTACATGTAGAGGCTGATACTACTGTAGGTAGACAGAACAATAAACCGTAGGAATGACAGTCATGCAGGCAAGTGGGAAGTAGGGAAGGAGTAAGCTGTAGAAATGTATGTAGAGCCTAATACTAGGTAGACAGATCAACAAAGTGACAGAACGACAGCTATGCAAGCAGTTGGCAAGTAATAGATCAAAAACAAGTGCGAGTGTTTGATCAGGGCATCCAAACACTGAGAAACAGATGAAAGCATGAGGCCATTTGGCGAGTGCTCTTATTGTTTCCAGGTGTTTGGATGCCCTGATCAAATACAAAGCACAAGTTTTTGAACTGACTTCTCAAACTTGTTATAATTCATTTTTTCTTGCATCTTGTGAGRCTAAAAATTCCTTTGCAATTATTCGTTTATTTGTTAGTGTTTTGATAGGTGTCTTGATCCATTTTTGATCAAGTATCAAGGTGCGTGCATGTGACTACATTRCAAAGTCGCCATTGGTCATTGACGTTATGAATTATTAATGAGTTTGAGAAGGAAGGAAGGAATGAAGGGAGATGGATAGATGGACAGACAGACAGACAGTTAACGAGCTCACCTCCATCAAATGGCCACCATAAGTAGGTGCATCCCTGGATACTAGAAATGGAACATTCGACATGCTCTCCATACCCCCAGCTACCATTACTTCCTGGAAAAAATAAGGAGTGAATAAATGAAAGAGTGAAAAATGGATGGACGGATTGAGGGATGAAGTGATGGAGGGATGAAAGATGGATCGAGGTATGGATGTTCAGATAGACAGACAGAGGGATGGAGGGAGGGAGGGAGGAAGGGAGGGAGGAAGAGGGGAAGGGATAAGAGGAGAGTGGAAAGAAATGAAATCACTATATATAGAAGAGTAAAGTCTTTCAATGTCAGAGAGAATGTTAATGACAAACATCATCATAACATATTTGCCAACCAACTACTCCATCTCTTTACTCTTGCATTTCTCCTATCAAATGATCCAACAAATTACAGAACCACTTGTACTCTAAGAAATGCTCTCTGCTACAAGATATTTGTAAGCTTCTTAGCAGAAAATCTTAAAGACATTTGATGGATAGTCCTGTACGAACCTGGCTGCCACACTGCAAGCTTTGAGCCGCCATCATGATGGATTTCATCCCAGATGCGCATACTTTGTTTATGGTTGTACAAGGAGTAGAGGTAGGGATTCCTGTAAACGATATATCACTATTTTAGTATAACAGGATGTTAATAACAAGGTAAAGCTGTCAATGTGTTGTTAATACAGTGTTGGTAGGTTGGTGGGTGCTTGTCGGTAGGGTATTGGTAGGTTGGTGGGTGCTTGTTGGTAGGGTATTGGTAGGTTGGTGGGTGCTTGTTGGTAG